ACTGAGTGGAGTGACTGAGCGGAGCGCACACGCATAGAGCGGGATAATACGCAGAGCGTCACACCACGTGAAAGTGAAACCTGAGCGGTGAACTCATTTTCGGCAGCCGAAATTTCGGTGCATCTCTAATTATTGGCGACATCAGAAATGGATATTATATAATAGATGCTTTTTTGAACATTTTAGCAATTGAAAAATATTAAAAAAGGATTTTTTACACGGCACCCCTGCTCTCGACTGACGGCACCCCGGTTGGGAAACACTGGTCTAGAGAGCTGTTCCCTTAACCTGGTCTCTCCCAAAGAAGTGCTCTGGTAATTTGGTTCTGCTTTACTCGTGTATTATTATTACCTGCTGCATAGGTCTGATTATCCTTCCTTCTCTCATCCTCTGTTTATTTTTATTGACATAGTCCTGCTTTGAAGTCTGAATTCTATCCTTCGGTTACTCTATTGTTACACACTCTTCTATTGAAACGGAAAAGAAAATGGCTCACAAACACATGGCAAATGTTTTTCACAAACCATTTTCAGAATTTTGTTTGAGAACTGCTACAAAGCCTGCAAAGTTAAATAGATTTTTTTTCAGCGCAGAACACAAAAAAAATAAGTTATTTTCTGTTATCTGCTGTGAAAGCTGCCATTCAGCATAGTGGCGCATAGGCTTATAGTCACTTAAAAGCAACACAATAAAACCTTAGATTCTGTTTTTTTTTTTTCTGTCAGTATCTTTTCCCCTTCACCAGAAAATTGCATGTACAGAAGTCTGTGGCTCTGAGGAATCCAACCTTCTTGTTTAATTAAAATAAGTGGGATGAAACATACTGTAGAGAGGGAGATGTGAAGGGTTTAAACATGTGTCCTCATATATCTGTAGGTATACACTCTACCAGACTGTGACCTCCTTCTTCCTGCCATTACCTCTGATTCTCATCTGCTATATACTGATTCTTTGCTACTCCTGGAGAATGTATCGCAAGAACAAAAAGGCTCACAGGTGACTTTACCTTCATTACAGCAACTATGTGATATAAAATGGGTAAATCTGCTAATTTAATTGCTTGTGAAGCCTGTCACTGGCTTGACTGTTCTAGCTACAGTGGGTCTACACTGGTTTCCTTCATTAATGTTTAATTCATCATCCATAAAGAGAATATCTACTGCAAAGTGAATAAGTGAATTTCTTGTATGAAACTGTCAGATGTGATATCCCTTTCGAGAATTATCCTGCTTATACTGTAGAAATGTTTTAGTTTTAGATTGACAGTGCATACTGATGTAGATTTTATGGGCTAAACCATGAATTTTAAGTAATATCTATTTATATCTCTCCTAGGTTCAATACAATGTTTTCTTAAAAAAACAAAACTGCATATACAGTGGACATAAATGCGACCAATTAACTGTAATTAGCATATTTAGGATTATATATTAGAACATTGAGCCCCGGTTTCACAGACCAGGCTTAAGCCTATCACAGACTAATATGTAAGTCTGAGCTTTTTCAGCTGAAAGAAACTTGCACTGATTGATCTTAGAATATGTCAGTGCCCTTGTTTTGTCTCAAGATGCACACCAGTAATGTTTTTTCAAATGCACGTTTATAAAAATTACTTTGTAAAATATCCTAATCGAACTATGTCCTAATCCTAGTTTAGTCTAAGCCCTGTCTGTGAATCCAGCCCTGAGTGTAATTACCCTAAACTTAGATTTAATGATTAGGCAACATACTGTATGACCAAATCCTGCATTCCCTACTTTCTCTCAGGTATAACACCAGCCTGCCTCGGGAACGTGTGGTCCGCCTCACTAAAATGGTCCTGGTTCTGGTAGCGGCTTTCCTGGTCAGTGTTGGGCAGTACCACGTGTTGCAGCTAGTTAACTTAAGTGTACCACGCCCCTCATTAGCATACCACACCTGCTACTACCTGTCTGTTTGCTTGAGCTACGCCGCCAGCAGCATAAACCCCTTCATCTACATTCTGCTGAGTAGACACTTCCGCCACAGGCTGGTCTGTCGGGATACACCCAGCATGCCGAGTGTGGAACGGGAAATCCAGGTCCCCCGCTCCAGTTTTTCAGCTGAATTCACACTGAAACACCCATAACACTGTAAATGGATGAATCAATGCACAAGCCTTTGTTAGTCTTAAGCAAAGTGCACTTGTTTTGGAGAAAGATTCTTGTTTCTTGTTTTCAATTCTAATTGTTGGGAGTGATTTTATAAAGGAGGCATGAGATGTTTTACATCTGCATGTATGCATGTCTTGCACTTTTTACAGTAGGCCTGTGTTGTAAATGTTGTGCTGTTATTTATTGTTTAATGTGGTGTTTTGGCTCCCTCTACTGCTAAATTTAAGTAATTTACTCTACTATCTATCTATCTATCTATCTATCTATCTATCTATCTATCTATCTATCATTATGCCTATAAACCTTCAAACATTTTTCAAAATTTTTAAACAAGGCTTTATTTGCCAACGTTCAAAGTTTGTTTTTACAAACTTAACTTTTCTACCTAAAAATTACATTAAAATGTATTTAGTCTTGACCATTCTATTTCCTTTCATTTCAAATTTGAATTGCAATTATGCCATTCAAATTGAGAAACTGAAATGGCATTCTCAGTTCAAAATGCATGTTCGATTCAATTCTGATTGGCACACAACCCTGCCTTTAATTGAAATTGAATTAATGTTTTGAAGGGCATTTGGCAGTTTTAGACTGCATTAATTTGTGGTCTGCAGTATTCATCATCTGAGAAAATAAAATATAATAATAATAACAATTGTGTTCAGGGCACAGAAGTAGACCACATTGTGGCTTTGTAATATAATATCGCCCTGTTTTATGGTTTCAAGCTTGACTGTATGCGACATTTAAAAATGTGGTATTTTATTATCTTGTGAATGTTATATTGTATTATCAACAGGTTTTGAAGAAAAAAAAATCATCATACCAGCAATGTGTTTAGTTCCTAAAGATTCCTTTGTGCTGTACAGAATGTATTGAGGCATGTGCGCATGTTTTCACTCATCTTGTGTGAGTGCATTACCATTATTACACACAAGAGAAATCAATATTGCTCGGGACAAAAAGTTGCCATTGTGCAGAAATCCTTTAAGGGCATTTTGGGATTGTCTGGTGTGAAAGTGGACGTCATGATGAAGTGGCTGGCAGCTCTAAAAAGTGAGGTCACTGAACAGATGGGCAGAGATGCAGGGATCTGTTTGCAGCCCAGCTCCCAGAGAGGAATCAATTCTCCGACCAGACCAGAGACAGACAGGGACCATGTCTGACCTAAAGCATGCCTGGCGGCAATGGCTGGAAACTCACCCCCAATGCTCCGTCTCTCTCTCTCTCTCTCTCTGTCTCAATTGTACCTTCTATGGCCTAGTAAACCAGCCAGAGGCAAAATACCAACTGATGTGTTCAAATACTTGTCAATATTAGTGTTTCAGTGTCAACATCGCTTGTTGAGACCCTGCATTTCAATAATACTATTCAATACAATATACAAACTGTTTGTCAATGATTCCAGTGCAGCAATAAATATTCTGCCTGGGCAGCAAGGTGCTTTTACATTCTTCTGTTTCTACAGTAACTCTGTTAAAGCACGTTATGCAAAGACTTCACCCTGTATATTCCCCATTACATCAGTTTTCTCTTTCTCAAACTTTGAATCATCATTCTGGTCTCTGAGCGAGGTGATTGACTACTGCTGCTGCTGCTAATCTGACATTGTTTGACCTTGTTTGTAGCTTGCTTCATATGGCACTGACCTTGTTATTTCCACCTCAGCAGTTTGGCTGCCTGTTTGTGTCATGTTTTTCACACTGGCTTTTGTTTTTATGTTTGTTATTTTATTTTGAAAGGCTATTTATTGCATTGTACATATTATTAAATGTATGATATTAAGAGTCATTTTTGAATATGTTTATTGAACTATCAATTTTCCCTCAAAATTCTATTTATGGCAGATTATTAGTAGTAGGATTGATAGAAGATTAGTAGAAAATGTTGCTGTCTACTAGTGGAACTGAGGGTGACAAGTGATTCCATTTTCCTGTTTATGTCACTAAAATGGGAAATCCCGTATAGCCTATTTCTGATAATGCATCCACATCTCTCACTTTAGACAGTGGACAGACACATCGAATCATCTGCTGGACGTACAGATACCACAAAATTGATTGATTTTTTCACCAGTAGAGGGCACGTGATGACAATTTTTCCAGCATACAGAGTTGAAAGATGCATTTGAAAACTAGGCAAAATACATAATCAATATAGTCAATCGAATCAGTTAATTCGTCATGTCTTTTAAATGCTGTATATAAATCGCACCTCCCTTACGAAAATTAACCACTGTTTTATTATAGTAAAAGTGTAGTAAACCATGTTCTTTTAGGGTATACCACCATTTGTATGACCGCAGTTTTACTACAAATACCATGATTAAACTATGGTTAGTGTAGCAAACCCATGATTAATTTGTGGTTAATATGGTTTAACTATAACCATTATTTTGTTTTATTTGTTGTAAAACCATGGTTAACAAGGGCTTGTCAAATAATTTTTCTCTCTGTGAATATTTATGTAGGATACTTTTATTATTTTTTTGGCCTTCTGATACATTCAATTTATTTATTTCGTAGGTAAACGAGATACCACTTTTTTAAAAAAGTATCTTATATGGGCTTCATTCCCGCTGACATCATTCTTGATCATCAACCCATTTCCATGACCAACTTTAAGCAAACACCAGTCTTTAAACTGTAAAATAATTTGGCGCTGCCAGTTTCGCACTCTGACAAATGATATCGGTTAATTTAATCGTTTTAATATAAGATTCATATTCCCGGACGTGTCTGTACATGGTGAAACCTGTGTGAAGAGATGAGTACAGGTTTTCGCCTTTGGTGCGCGCAGGTTTCCCGACAGCCTGTTGTTTCGCGACAATGAAGGGCCTGACAACTGCTTTGTTAATTGGAACAGGCTTCTCGCCATGTGTGCAGCGAGGGTGGTGAAAAGCCTGAGATACAAGATGACAAGTGTGAGCACGAAGTAGAGTCGCGTTTAATTAATTCCCCTCTCTCCCTTGGGAGCCGCGCTTTGCTAGTATGTGATACATTTTGAGTTGTAATCGACGAAATAACTCGCGATTGCAGTATTCCGTGGGAGCGCCTTTGAGTTTGTGGAATCAATGTGGGGCTGCCTGCCTCACAAGTATAGGGTGAAAACCATAAATATTGTCGAGTTGACCTAGAGATTAAAATTGTTGCATGGCGTTACATGCTATGTAGGCTGCCACACTGTAGGCCTAATAAATGTGTGGAAGTACCACCGTACCTGCCCATGAGCGTAGCTGAAAAACTGGACACCCATAGTGGTAAGTGTTTATTAAAATGTTTATTTTGGATTTCCATCCACGTGAAGAACACTTTCCCATTCTCCCTAACTCCTAAAACGTTTTTAAGGGGCAATATTTTCCACTTAATTTAATATATATATATATATATATATATTAACAGTATAAAACACACAGAATGTCAAACACCAAATGTAAACGTGCTGTAAGTAATGCACAAGATATCACAATAAACTGATTAGTCCCTTAGACTTTACTTAGTTTTTATTAATTAAAACGCTTCATATTGTCTCAAAGACAAGACTGCTACATGTCAGTTAAGATTCTAGAGGAGACATTAAGTCAAAACCTATACAGACTTAGAATAGTACTGTGTATAATAATGTATCAGATGTTCGATATACAGTATGTGTTAGATATATTTGTACATTTCTATCTCTTTTAGTGGCATATTTTAACTGAATTTTTATTGAATGAAAATGGAAAATTAAAATTTTTCATTTAAAAATGAAAATCCTGTCATCATTTACTTATCCTAATGTTGTTCCAAACCTTTATAACTTACTTTCTAATGTGGAAAACAAAAATGTTATTTTGAAGGTTGATTTAGTGAAAGTAATATAATAAATATGCTTCTAAGGCTTTTTCTTCCACATAAGAACTACTCTCAGTTTGTGTGAGGTAACCATGATGTTTAGTGGACCAAAAATGTTGATTCGACCGAGTTAATTGACTATGCAAAAGCATGGTGCACGTTGCACATTTCCCGCTCCCACAACTGCGGCACATGCTCGTGTGGCTTGTGCTGATTATCCAGCCTCCACAACTCCAGATGGATCAACACATGCTTAAAATGCGACAAACCAAGACGCAGTTTTCCTTCTGACCAGTGTTGCCAACTGCTTTCAATTGAAAGTAGCTAAAACTGGTAGCTAAATGTCACTAGATGACATCACAAAAATGCAGATGAGCTGAAGGCCACTGTCAAAGAAACCTGGGCTTCCATACCACCTCAGCAGTGCCACAAACTGATCACCTCCATGCCACGCCGAATTGAGGCAGTAATTAAAGCAAAAGGAGCCCCTATCAAGTATTGAATACATGTACAGTAAATGAACATACTTTCCAGAAGGCCAACAATTCACAAAAACATTTTTTTTATTGGTCTTATGAAGTATTCAAATTTTTTTTTGAGATAGTGAATTGATGGGTTTTTGTTAAATGTGAGCCAAAATCATCACAATTAAAAGAACCAAAGACTTAAACTACTTCAGTCTGTGTGCATTGAATTTATTTAATACGCGAGTTTCACAATTTGAGTTGAATTACTGAAATAAATCAACTTTTCCATGACATTCTAATTTATTGAGATGCACCTGTATCACTTCTGTTTGCCTGTATAAATGTCAGCGTGCTTCCACTCTCAGACTCGGGGAGTAAAACATAATCTTGTTGTCATCTTCTAAGTAGTTTTAACAGCCTCATCCGAGTTTGTTTGCACGTTAATTGAATCTGTGTGGGTGGGCTTTGCTTTAACCTGTTCTCATGTATCTTGTCGAAACACTTCTGCCGTGGGCATACTGCCGTTAGTTGTTTACAGGTTGAGTTCATAGTTATATTTTGGATAAAGATCTTTTATATTGACCTTTTTGAATAAAGCACTGCATTTTATTTTGAAATAGATTGAGTTGGTTGGACTGATACAGCTTTGTATGATGCAGTTTAGGATGTAGATGATCAGATTAACCTTAGAAGCAGGTTAGAAGACGTACCGAACACGAGCCGGGCTGCTTTAATGGTTTTTGAAACGATTACATGCATTCTAATGGAGGACATTAACATGCATGTGTTTGAAACAATAGCGGCCCTCATTGTTTCTCCATTCTTCATTAATGCTGTAATTCAAAATGCAAAATGATTGACTGCCAAGTTTTGTGAACATCAAAGCTTTTTTTTTATATATATAATTTCCCCCAACCAGAAACCCTATTAAATTAACATGCATTTTGAATCTTTTGCCCAATAAGTTGCTTAATGAATTGTGAGGAGCATTGACAGTGAACAAGGCCTCACGTTAATGTCAGAATTAGACCTTTAAAATATTGTGTGTGTGTGTGTTGTCCGTTTCGAAACGGGCTGAGATAGTGTGTGATACGAGTGAGGTCTCCAGTGCTCTTCATGCCCCGTTAATAACCTGGCCTGCTTTGATGTGGCAGTGTGGAGTGAGGTGGCTCTTTCTCTGCATCACTTGTGGCATGTAAATCCGGCCAGCATTTTATCTCCTTACCTGCTCGAGGGCGACTGCATTTGCTCTGGCTGCCTGTATATGCACTCAGTTGTAGCGTGAGTTATGAGATGTCACCTACCCGACAGGCCACTCACAAATACTTTGGGAAGAATGTGCTTCTGTTTGCATTTGCTTCCCTGTTCATTAGATGTTATTGTTTGTTTGCATGACATTCAGTTAATGTAACACTAAATATGAACACTGGTAATGCTCTATTTCTGAAGGGCTTGTAGTACTTGTAACAAGGGCTTGTCTAGCTTTAGGCTATATCATACAATTGCACTTTATTTTGCATAAATGTGACTTCATATCTCTCAGCTGTAATTTTATATCTCTCAATGTGACTTTGTTTGGTAATATGACTATATCTTGCAATTGCATATTTACACCATGCAGTGTTATATTTCTCAATTTCAACAACTTATAATATTGACTGTTTCTTGTCATTTCAACTTTGTTTCTTGTGATTTCGACTTTCTCGTAAATACAACTGTTCCTCATAATTTTTACTTTGTTTTGCAGTCTCGATTTATATTGTGACATGTGATATTTCTAAACTTCTACTGTTTCTCTTATTGTCGACTCTGTTTCTTGTAATTTTGTAACTGTAACTTTTTGTAACTAAAAAGTTGTAACTGCAACTTTGTTTCTTATAATTGCGACTTTATACATATCTCGCAATTGCATCTTTGTCTCATCATTTTGTCTTTATTTCTCACAGTGTGACTTTATATCAGTTACAATTTTATTTCTCATAAATTTGAGTTTGTTTCTTGTGACTTTATATCTCATCTTTATATCTCACAATTAAATCTTTTGTCTTGTAGTGTAAATTTATTTCTTGTAATTTTTACTGTGTTTCTTGTAATAAAATTAACTATTTTAAAGGGGTCATATGATGATGCTGCTAAAAAGAACATTATTTTGTGTATTTGGTGTAATGAAATGTGTTTATGCGGTTTAAAGTAAAAAAAACAGGAAAAATTGAAATCGCATCATATGACCCCTTTAACTTTTTCACAGTTATCTTTCTATTTTTATGCTGAGGTGGCAACAGGCTTCCATATACTTGTCTGGTCAAACAAAGCATACATAGTTTTGATTTAGTGTTTATATGTGTGCTATAAATTATAATGTATGCAATTACACCTGCTCTAATTTCTGCTCTAATGTGATTGAAACTTAACAGTTAAGCTTTGGATCATTGCCTGTCAATCCTTTTATTTATCTTTTTTTTTTTTTTTATCGATCGGTTCTGGCCAAAGCATCTCTCATGCAATCATAGAGTGTCAAAACTGCACTGCATTGTGCATTTGGTTGGTTAAAAACACATTTGTTGTCTTGTGCTAACCCAGAGAGAGCATATCTGATAGCTCTCTTGACCTTAAGATGAATGGCTGCCCAAACCAATCCCTGCTGCACATTACCATTTAAATGATGCAAGGAGAAGGTTAGGTCAGCTCATTTGATGTTGAAATGCAAACAGAGATCAAAGGAGAGATCTCGCAGTGGCCTATATTTACAGTAGTCGGTCTTGGATTGGTGTGTTCGGTGGCAGAGGTGCAACGTATTGTCTATGTGTATGTGTTAGACGAGAGTTTTGTAGGAGGGAAGAGCACATTGTCTATTTGTTCTGCTTGGTCCTCATGGGTAGGTAGCTCATTAACCATTGTAGCCTGGCACAATAGCCAAGAGCGCCGGCTGTATGGGTGCAACAAGTCCAGCACAATACCTGTAAACAGCCAGCGGCTTAATTGGAAATGGCCCCTGGGACCACCAGGCTGTCATAACAATAATAGACTTGTATAGGTGCATAATATCAAAACTGCAGAGACCTATTGGTGGAGAGTACATGTGTGTGTGATTGTAGTTTCTCAGCAAAATGCTGGTTTAATGATATTGAAATGTTTCCTGGCTATTTTAAGACGACGCATGTGTACTAGCTGAGTTTTTGTTTAACATGTTCTCATCTGTTTGCTCCTGTTCCAGGTCACTGAATGGCACAAGCTTCAGCATCACCCTTCTCCAATAATCACATGAGACAAGAAAACACTGAAAGATCCAAAAGAAGAGGAATGGACAATGGTGTGTGGTAATAAAAGTAATCCAATCACATAAAAGACTAGTGCAAAGGGTAGGAGTCAGCAGGGACCTGGCGGTACTATATTATTTTGATATCTCATGATATGATGATATTGTGTTCTTTTTATTTGGTGTACAGTCAGAAAAAAAGGTACAAATGCTGTCACTTGGGCAGTGTCCTTTCAAAAGGTACATATTTTGCCTAATTTACCCCTAAAGGATGCATATTAGTATCATTCGAAAGGGTACTACTGCCCAAGTGACAGGTTTTTTTTTTTTTTTGAAAGTGTGTAATTGTGATATCGTGACTCTTTTTTAAAACTGGATTTGTCAAATAGAAAGAATCTAGAATGCATTTACCTAATGCCACAGTATATGACTTTCTATAACTAACAGGTTTGCTTTTATACTTGCGCTCGTTCATCTTTTTATATGATTTAGCTGTGTGAATCCATTAAACAATCATAATACAAGAAGATACACACTCAAATACTGTATAACTTGCTTTTATTTAATCAATTTACGAGAATAAAAGAGACTGATGTTCATCTCATTGCATTATGACGGTACGATTTCTAAAAATATTATAAAAATATTTTGATAAGTTTAACAAACATACCGATTCTTGGTGTGAGAATGTTCATAGAGTATTGTGAGCTAAAATAATTAAATCTAAAATATAATGCTTTAAAAAAAATAAATAAATAAATTTCCCCACCTGTAACTGCTCTACCTTTTAGGTTTTCCTTCATTTTTCAACTTCTGTGTGTACAGCAAATTTACTGTTTGTTCTCTGTTTGCTTATTGGTTCCTATTAAACTGTAACATAATGGTGATGCCCTTATTTCAATGACCTTTGGTTTCTAAGTGGGCGGAGCCATTAGGCTCCTTTTAATGCTGTGTTGGAAAAACATCTCGTTTGGCTGGGCTGCTATTGTTCATATATTCATATAACAATTATAATTCTGCTTGTTGGAAAGTTTCTCTATGGTATTTTTGCCTCCTAAAAGTTTAGCATGAGCAGTGAGCACCACTTTAAAAGAGTCAGCCAGATATAAAATCCCCTTCAGCAGAGGTTTCCAATTGATAAGAGTATAAGTGCACTATGTAGTCTTTTATTTTGTGGCTGACCGCTAATTTCTTGCTTACTCTTCTGAGAAGTTTGTTCGCAAACACCCTTGGTGACACTCACCAGCTGTTCTCGAGGGGGTTGTGTGATAGAGTGGCTGGGTTGCTGGTTTCTGGGTCGTCCAGCTAAAGATGACCTCAGGCCATGACCTCAGGCACTGGTAAACTGAGGCAGGTCTTTGGCCCAGCAGTGCCACCTCACATTTAAGTAAAGTCCATGTGATAGACCCAGCTAGAGAGACTGCAAATTATTGGGTCTGAATGGTGCTAATTCGCTGGGCTGGTTGAATGCAGGTTGGAACTCTGGTGTCCCATTAATCCTGGCCGGGAGAATCATATCAGGTTAGAAGTTCAGGCTTTCACTTTGGACTGTTCTGAAGTAATGTGATCTGAAGGTCTTCTCTATAGTGATTCAGCACTGCATTGAAGATGGTTAGAATAATAGACTGAGGAAAGGAGATGATTGCCTCAGTGCCTGTAACACTTTACTAAGAGGAGGTCAAATAGAATATAAATTATAGGATGGTGGTACTATTTAATTAAACGTAAGTTTTAGTATGGTCTCATGACTGCTAGAGCTTGAAGGCCATTTAATTAATTTCTACATATAACAACAATCCAGCTATAGACATGGTAAATAAGTCCAAGAAGTCACTCATTCACCTATTTGACTGGTGTACTGTATATGTTAGGGCTGGACAATAATTCAATATCAATATGTATCGCGATATTTTTTTTTCAATAACGGTGATATGATTTTTAAACACATTTCCGATATATCGATAAACATTACCAGTGTTTCCCATACATTGATTTATTTGTGGCGTTGAATAAACATGAGCACTGCACGTTTCAAAATCAAAACGCGTCGCGGGTGTTTTATATGAATGTATCTCTGAAGGGAACCGACTGTCTTCAGAATAGTTTAGATGGCATTTTTATCTGATAAAGTAGCGTTCATGAGCGGAGCTGCTTTGTTTACA